TCCCTACAAATAGGAATAAATGCCAGAATAGTGAATACTAGGAAAAAATACATTAAGTTCCAGGTTTGTTTAACTCAGCTTTTTATATTTACAACATCCCTTTAATTTAAAGCACAAAGGTTCCACCGAGTCCACTAGAGATTTATAGCTGACTCGGCTGTTTGCTGACATCTTGGGGAGATTTACTGGTTTCCTATCTAGCATTAGTATCTTCTGGGCACGCTTGGGGAAAACATAATTTTCCCATTAACTGAAACAGCATTCCAGATTTATCTGCCATATAGCTATCGCTACGATCTTAGTTGTCACCAAGAACCACTGTGGTTACCCTCGTTTCGTAAACACAGCCTACCCAGCTGAGCAGGATTTTACTTGCATTTGGAGCCATCAGATGTGTTGCTTTACAATTCCAGCGCTCATCAACCTGGACCTCATCCAAATATCTTTCAACTGTAGCTTCTACTTCTGACACTCAGTTGCCAGAATTTTTCATCCAAAATGAGTTGGCTCTGAGCTTTATTAGCTCAACAATTAGGCAGCCCTTTAAGAAGTTTTAGTGTGGCTTTCCAAGTTGCTCAAGTGATCTGTCCCACGAAAGCATTCAAACTGGAACACGGCACTGTGGGAAAGTCATTAATTTACACCTGTAAACTTATTACGGGTGTAATTATTACATTGAAAATCAAATCCACCTCTGGGTGGAATGGGGAAGCCGTTTTGCCAGGTTGCCAAATCTGGCATGAACAGATATGTTACTGCTCTTGCTGCTTATTAATGTCTCCCACACTGAAAAGATAAGTTAAATGAGGCTTTCTGCACCAGAGGAAATGAGAAGTACAAGAGCTGGACAATCACACGCCCACAGTATGGATTTTTGTGTGGAAAACTGCAGTATTACTGAAAGAGCAGACTACCTCAAACCTTAAAAAGAGCTGAACAGTAGCCATCATTTCAACTGAAAGTATCTGTGGGGCCATTAAAGTCTGCTCTAAAGGTGCTACCACTTTGGGTATGTGCAGATGTAGCTCAGCATCTGCAGGCACAAGCTCAGGCTGGAACTGGTGCAGCTGCCTCGGCAGGGCTCTCTACCCAGGCTTGGCCCAGCAGAATTTGGCCACAGAGGCTGTGACTGAGGTGAGTCAGTGCCTCTGCTCAGCGCTCTGTAGACATACCGGTTCACTCAGCTGTAGTATCTGCAGCGTGCGGTAAAGACATGCCCTGTGTTTTCCTCCTACTTGCTGCCTCTCCTCTTCATTCATCTATTTCCCCTGCATTCTTGGAATAGAGTTTGCTTTTCTCATGCTCCTATTACCAAAAAAATCAATTATAGTAATACCTGCAGAGCCCATTACTACTGGAAGAGGAGCTCTCCGCTGATATCAGAGCATAATGTCAGGAATAACAGAGCCACCCTACCACAATTTCTTTCCGTCCTGGGCTCTCTGGGGCATCTCAAGACAGCTGAACTCTGATCAGATCTATGAATTTTAGCAATGCTTGAAAACCTTTGCTGTCACCCACCTACTGCCAGTGGCTGCCTTTCAAGATAAAAGATAAATTGGAAATAATCATCCTTGACATCATAGTACATTAATTTCTTGCTTTCATGGCTTTTATTCTCTCTATAAAATGTGTGTCTACATATATACCTGATATGTCCCCAGTCCACTCCTTCAAAAAATGGATGACTTTTGATTTCCTCTACTCCATTACTACCAATTCTATTTTCTGAGTCGATACAAAACCTGGAAAAAATGGAAAAAAAAATAAAGGGGATGTTACAATAAATGCAAACAGAAGCAACAGCAAATAAAACTGCAGTGGTATCCTGTATCAGGAATTTGAGGAAGTTCTTTCAAATTGTTCCATCACTTGGGTTAAGGTAAAAGCAGCCCATTGCATCTAGGAGAGAAGGGAAATAGTAGAAGCAGAATATTGTCCCAAAACAAAAAGCTACGATGACAGTAACTTACACCTTTTCTAAAACTGTTGCATCCCCATCTTCAAGGTTTGTGAAAAGCTGCTGCAAGATCTAGCCTCCATTCCAAATTAATCTTCCAGGGCTTAAGTCCCTACCTCTGAAAACTCCTCTGCATGTTCTCAACTATTTAAAATCCATGTTTCAAAGTCAAACTAACAGGAATAGATACACTTAGTGAAACAGGACTATTCTCTGATGTCACATTTTGGAACTACAATGAGCCAGACACATTCAAAACATGCCATGTCCCTATTTGCCCTGTCACGCCCTCTTCCCTGAGAGGTCCAGGTGTTGGCAGTACAAAGAACCAAAGCCTATTTCTGATATGGCCCAGCTGCATAACCTCAGCTCAGACTCCAGAAGAAATTGTCCATTTCTGAGAAGCAGCTGTGAGAAAGTCCATAGAATCAATTAAGAAGAAAAAGGTGAAACTGGAGACAAGAGATAGGATTGTTGAGATGGGGACCCTTACCTGCTCAAGGAGGCAGGAAGAAAAACACCAACAAGCAGAAGTATAACATTCTAAAGACAAAAACCAGGGAGGTAGAAGCTCTCTGACAGCGACTTAGTGACAAGAGGGATTTGTTCCAGGGAGCAGCAGAGGCTGACCCTTCTCCTCTGGACTGACGCCTGCCTGGACCAATGCCTAGCTGGCTGGAAAAGACTCTGAAGTATCTCATCAAGGAGGTGGTAAGCATACCAAGGCTTAGCCTAGGAGTTCATTAAATCCTAGTTATCTTTTGTATGTGTTAGCACAGTATAATTACTTTATATTTTTACACTGTCCTTGCAGTCTCTTTGAGGACGGCAAAAGGTATCAACAGTAACACAAAGAGGGAGGTTTACAATAACAGGAAAAAAACCCACCCATGTCAAACAAAAAGCTTGGTCTTGCCAAGTGTGGAGTCACCTGACGACCTCCTAGAAATGGGGAGTACTTGGTACCACGGGGGTGTGGGCCTCCTGTTGCTCTGAAAGTCAGCTGGCCTTTGTTAAATGAAATCCTGTTTGCCTAGATGAGCAAAGCCTCTGGTTGTCGATTTAGTTATCCTGAACTCAATCTCTCCACACGATCACATCATCCAGACTTGCAAGGCACTTTTCACATCAATACACTGCAATACAAAAAAGGTCACCTTCTTGCTAGTTAGTGAAATTTTCAGCAGGTAATTTAGTAGCATAGCAAGTTAGGCTATAAACTGTTTCCAATTATAGACTGCGATGTTCTTTTACTTGTAGTTGAGTGTCACTTGGGAAAAAAAACAACTGCTTATATATCTACTGCAGCCCAGCCAGTTGATTGATGCCAAGTACTAATAATAGACCTCAAACCTTGTAAAAAGAGCCAGACCAGGTCTCAGGATTTGTCAGGCTTTGTCTGGACTTGAGCTTATTTCAGTGTGCTTTTACCTGTATCCATAAGAATAAAGAAACTTCAGCTTTGTCTGCAACTTCCTTTAAGTTGAAATATATGTGGTCTAACTTGTCCATGCTGCAATGGACAAACTATCCAATGGCCAAGTGTTTGTCGTGCTGTTTTGACCTCATTTTAGTAGATTGTCTATAAATAAAGATATTTTACCCTAATTTAAATCCTGCCATTTATGCAGGAAATACTAATAAATTCAAGTAGTCACTGTATAAGTAAATTCATGAGCAAGACACATTAAGAAATAAACTGCCTGAAATATCTAAGAGTGCCTCAAACACAGCAAAGACGGATGAGGAAGAAATCCTCAGCAGCAACACTGTACTCTTTCCAAGCAAAGAACTCAGGCTGCTGACAACACACAGGAGAGGTTAAACAGAACACTAGAGAAATAGATACTGAAAACGTAGTAAAACTGTTATACACAAACTTATTAATGAGGATTAGCAATAATTAAATAATTTGAACTGTTAGTATCACTGTAACTAGATTAAGAATAACTGTCTGTTGTATTTGTTATATGCTACTGGAGCATTGCTTGGCCCAATAATAAATGCTAGTTCTTGGCTCCACTGATGAAGTACATTCCCCTTCCTGCCTGTAACAAAATTGTGGAAGTTTTTAATATTTTGGGGGCAGGAAGGGGGTGGGGAATAAGAGGGAGGGGGGGAATCAAAGCCAAAACCCACATCCCTCTCAAAACCTCCCAGGAAAAGAGAGCATTTCTGCCTGACCTTGACACCAAAACCCCTCACAAAAACTGCAATTCAAGTTGAATGGATTAAAAACTGTTATTTTGGAAAAAGTGAGTAATCCAGAACATCCAAAGATTTCTGTTCAGTGCATTAAATGATGGCAAGCAGTTATTTTCTAGTTCCCGCTGAGAAAAATTGTGTTAATCACTTTATTCTTC